GGTCGAGGCCGGTTTCCTCGGGAAAGGGATTGGGAAATGATAATGCCATCCGTCCTGACAAGGTGAGCAGGGCCCTGGCGGCGCTGCCCCGTGTCCCCGATGTTCAGCAGGGTGCGCGCTGCCCCGTGTGCCCGAGGCGAAAGGCGGCGGGGCCGTGCCGAGCAGCACCTGCAGGGACCGCAGCGCGCCGCAGCCAATGTCAGCCCCGCGCCCTTCGCTCACCGCCCGGCCCCAGCTGCTGCGGCACCAAAACCTGCCATCAGCCGCTCGCTAATGCAGATGATAACACGAGTTCACCTATGTCGCTGTTTCTACCTCTGTAGGTAGTCCAGACTTCCAAAAAAAAAATCACTCGCTGATTTTCTTTGCAATATTGCATTTACTCACGTTACTGGGGGAAAAGGTTCCTTCGAAGCAAAACTCACGTGCTTTTCATGCATCCTTGATGTGAGTGTATAAATAGGAAGAACATTTCCAAAACTTCATAAAAATAATTGAAATATCTGTGTAAATACTGGAGAAACACTGAAATGTTACTTCTTTATGTGACTGACATAAAGGTACAGAAAAGCATATGTGTAAATTTAAGTTAAACTAAAAAATATGCAAGCAGGAAAGACAGGGAAATGTATCTGTGGTAGCTTGAGTAAGAGGAGGAAAAATAATGTCTAGATTAGTAACATTAATACATTACGGGGCTAATAACATTGTAACACTTTGCCCTTAAGGTTAAGGAAATTTGTTATCATTGAAAGATGCTCATGCTAGTGGGGGTGGTGTAAGTAAAAAAAGAAAAAAAATGCGATTTAGGTCTATAATAATTTAATCCAGGAAATTTGTATAATTTCATGCTGTACAGAGTGAGCCAAAATAGTCTGTCCTATTGCTTTGGAAAATGGAAAGTTGCTACATTGCAGCCATGGATTTGAAGCTTTCCCTCACTGTCTAGAAACTGCCAAATGCTGTAGGGTTGTGTTGCATCACGTGGTGCAATATTGAAATCTTTCCTAATACCGCAGTACACTGCAGTAGAATGGTTTTAATGCAGATTACCTGGAGATTATTCAAAGGGTCCACGTTGCCTCACTGAAACATGAAGCAAATCGGTGTGATCCTCCTGGCATCGTGCTGCAGTGCCACGCTGCAGGATATTGCAGGAGCAGGAAACTTTTCGACACCTTCAGCTCTGCGCTGATTTATCGTTTCAGAGTGGGATGATAGAGCAAAAGTAGCAGGGCAGTGACAGCACGGTAAATCACAGAGAACTGAGGGGGGACGGTTCTTTTCACATTGTTCTCGGGTAATAGTGCATAGAAATCATCTGATAGACAAATCTCTAGTGAAAGCTTTTTAGTTTAAGGCTTATAGCTTTTCCCTTCTAGGAGTTAGAGCTCACTGATGTCTTGAGGATAATGTTTTTCGAAAGGATGTAATAAATTTCATGACAGCTGCCTAATTTTTTTTTTTTCAAATGCAAAAGAGAGTACAGTTTACTACAAGAAATGCTGACATGCATGATTTTTCAGAGAGCTGCTGCTCCAGGGTTTTGAGTCAACTATCTCACATGTACACCAAATTGCTGCTCTAGCTTTATTTATGTTTATTACTGCTCTGTGCTTGTTAAATACTGCAGGGTATGGTAGTGTGGTTAAAATATCAATTCCATGTTGAATAAAGTTTAAATTGGTCAAGTTACTACACATTAAAAATAAGCAAATGATAAGTGGGTAGATTTTTTTCCCCAAGTAGTAATAAAGAGAATTTAAGAGAAGTTTTATATGTATCACACTTTTAATCTAAGATTCTTTACAGAATGTTTTTTAGGGGACTTTTCCTAAATCTTAAGGATGATAAACAGAGAAGACAAAAGAAATGAAGAGAGAAGGTTAAAACAAAACCTCTCATCTGAGATTTGACCTCAGAAGGGAAATCCTGGAGGTGAAGCCATTGCAGAGAAGAAGCAAAAGAAGGTAACAAAGTCTTGAGACTAACTGATCACAGGGAGTGGAATTGGAGGGGAGATCAGAAGTTGTTGAGAAGTGGAATTAAGTGCTTTATAATCTAAGAAGGCAGTTATTGGTTCTGTAATAAGCAAGGGATCCTGCTGCCAGTTCAGAGTACACATAATGTGAATGCACTTTTGCAGAGTTGTGAGCAGGTGGGATGCAGGGTCCTGCAGATGCTTGTTCTGATGGGCACCACAGGCAAACAGAGCAGTGACAAAGTCACTGGCATAGCTGAAGCTTTTGGCAGAAGTGCAGGAAGCAGCCTTTCACTTGAGCAATACTGAGGGAGGAGGTCATGATAAGTATTTGGTCAGGGGAATGAAAAAGGAAAGTTCTGGTTCAGAGAACCCAGAGAAGAGGTGACCAGCAAATGTTTGGAAGTGGGAAGGCACAGGAGGATGTTTCTGTGGTCACTGTTACTCTTGAATGCAGTTTACCTATTTTCCCAAATTGAGTGTGGTAGGGAAACAACAAGGAAATTGTGTCAAACTCCTGCAGTTTAATGTAAGAGTTGAACAGGGAATGTGCTGTAGCAGCAGCAGCCCTCCTTCCAGGAGACAAGGCAGTCTTCCCCTCAAATATTCTTTCAGCTGATCTCTCATGATAGCCTCTTCTGACTTAGCAGTCTTACCCAGCAAGGCTGAAAGAGGACATCCTTTCTTCCCTTACCCTTGTCCTGCTTGCAGAATTGCAGTACAGTCTCTGGGCCAGTGCATATTTCTTGATAATTAAGGTGATGTTCAGCCACACCTTTTAAAAGAAGCTAAAAGTTCTTGCTGAGTGCCATAGGTTTGGCTGAAAGGCAAAAAAAAAAAAAAAAAAAAAGCAAAAAGAAAATGTGATGGCATTTTGAATGGAAAAACCATGTCTTCAGAAGTCTGCTGACCTTCCCCACTGTTAGCCATGGGATTCAAGGGCACTCCACAGCTCTGTGAAGGCACCTCTCTGCTCCTGCAGACTGAGGCCTTGTGGACCTCATTGTAAGACTCCCTGTGTCAGTGAGCTGAGGGAAAAAGGTCACATGCTGCATCTGGTGATGTGGACATAAAAATACGAGATGATGCATAAAATGATTTCAGGAGAGTAGCTGAGTGAGTGGAAGGGTGAGATCATCTCTTTTCACTGCTATGTAGGTATGCTTTAAGGACTGTGTTTGTACAAATTAATTATAATTGAGTAAAATATCCTGCCTAAATGACTGCTTAACTGGTTAGAAGGGTTCTCTAATCATCTAATACTTTCTAACAAAATATTTGGGTTTTTCCTCATCAAACAAGAACCAAAGTAAATGCAGTCAAAACCAAAGAGGCAAGCAAATAAAATACAGAAGACATCATAGAATGAGTGTTATCAACTTCTTTTGATGAAATAATTGACTTTCCCCCTCAATATTCTATTCACAGATTACATGATGCCACCAGTGCTACACTAGCAGCTTAAATATACCATAGGAAATGTTGTGAGAGTTTCCAGTAGTTGATTAAACCTTATGAAACACTTTCTTGAGCTGAAAGAATAATATTTGCTGGCTTGATATAGCCAGCCCATTTAAAAGAAATCTGTTTTCTGAAATATGTTCTAAATTCAGCAGGGTTATTACAAGTCTTCACCCTGCAAAACTTGCTAAATTGTTTACTCCACACAGTGCTTCATATGGTTAAAAGGTGCACTAGCATTAGTTGATTCTCACAATATCTTTGAAATTAGGTAAATGTGTATTATTATTTCAGATGCCTTGAAAAGAAAAGGTGAACTATAAATTTAAAGGTTGTATGATTTACCCAAGACCAAACTCTGTGATTCCAGTGCCATAGCCTGAACCCTTCCATGGCTGGAACATTTTGCCTTCTGCAGGTGTCATAGGTGACCACGTAAAATCAAATTGTTGTCAGTTTTATATATGTAGAAGTAATTACTATTATTATTATTATTATTATTATTATTGTTCATTGGCTCAAACAATTTGTGTATTTAAATTGCCTCTGCTTATTAGACTGAATGTAAATAAAATGGAGAATGAGCCATACAGTTGTACACTCATGGTTCATAGTGTTGCTGGGAAAATGCTGGCAGGAATTCTGTGGGCATAAATTGACTTTGTAGACAGAAAGGCTGTTCTTGAGTCTAGATGGAAATACACTGCTGAAGCTCCTATGGCACCTTTTTTTTTTATTGCAGCATCAGTGTGCCCCTTTGTCCTTGGCTGCAATTTGCTCTGTATTCATTTTTGGCAGTATTTAAAGTAGCAGTTGTCAATCTGTATGTAGTCTTACATCCCAGAGGGAATTGCACTCCATTAGTATTTTAACTATATAATTGAAAGTTGTTTAAGAATTGTTTCAGACTGATACACAACATTGGTCATTCCACTATTATATTACTTTATAAAGTTAGGTTGGACTACATACAGTGAAAAGACATTTAATTTTGCAGGAAGGGAAAAAATTGCTCTAGTAACTTTTGAGGTTTTTATCCTTGCAGGGAAGTTGCGTTGCTGTCAATTCTCTTAAGGGCATGCAGAATTATTCTTAGTTGAAGTAATATTCCCTGGAGTAAGGGGACAATATATATGTCTCTTTTTCTAGTTCATGACCTTTAATAGTAATGCAGATTTTTTTTTCTCCTCCTACCTACCAAAATGCTGCAAAACCAGAGCAATTCGGGAAGAGCTTTAGAGTACAAGAGCAAGGACTTTGAATATTAATCAGGCATGACTTCTCATCCAGGATCACACACCTATGACAGCCATAAAGATGTAGAAGTAGAGATAGTAAATATGCTGCTAAGTTATTAAATACTGACCAAAAATCAAGGAATTTTCTAGCTGCTATTTCACTTTTTTGCTTTTAAGAGTTGAATGGAGAATGCCACCAACAGTAACACTTTGGGGTAGAATGAAAGATATAGTCTACTACCTTATAAAAAAAGTCTACTAAGTTATAAAAATAGTAAGACACATCCTCTTATAGCCTCTCATATCAGGTTATCAGAGGGTTTGTTTGAATAAGTCTAATTTGAAAGTGCATTTGTTGCATATGGAAAGTATGTCTATTTTTTCAGCCTTTTAGGAAAAGCTTATTTGACTGCTTGGGCTGTTGCATGGAGCAAGTACACAGTTACTGCACCTCAGCACAGATTTGCATGTAGTCAAACTTTGTCTAATGATCCCATAAACATCTTTAGACAAGATAAGTGATGAATCACTGTTCTTTAATGTTTATAATTTGGGAGCTGTTAAAATGGATTGCATTAGATTACCCAAGCCAGGTCACAATGAGCATAGCCAAGTGTGTGACTTTACAAAGCCATGTTGACTGTTCCTCCTTCCAGGCTATAAGTGTTTGGGTATATTAACCTGCATGGAAAAAGTTTTCTTGGGATTATTCAAACTCCTGTAGCATAGGTATTTCATCCATCTCATAGATAATGAGCTTTATTTCTTGGTTTGTATATTAATATATTTTATTGTGCATGGCATTTATGAACAACCAAATTGAAGCGAGTATTAGTTCTCCATCTGTCATCTGTGAATAAAGCTGAATATAGCTATTTAATAAAGATACTAATCTGTCATGTAGAATTAAGATAGCTTCCTGCATCTTACTTGGCATTTGGTTACCTCAATGTGAATCTTTTACTGAGTGTGGGATTGAAATACAGATAAATTAATGTACATGGTTTATAGGCACATGAGATATCTAGGCTCCTATTTAAACTCGGTTAAATCATTGAGGCTCAGAGAACAATGCATTTCCCTGAATTTGTGTTTAGTGCCATTTGAGGTGCCTGGAGTTAGTAACCACCACTGTAAGCCCAGAAGAGGGTCCAAGCCCTGTGTCAAGTCTGTACCCATCAGAAGAGGCAGCTGGAGGCCAGCCATAATAATGCACAGATTGCACCATGCATTTATTTTTAGGCCACTGAATTGAACCCTACAGCAGTTGAAAAAAGCTGAATTGCTCTCCAGGAAGCTTTAACTGTGTTGAGCAGGGGCTTCACACTTATGACTGCTGGAGGTGCTCAAGGCTGACTCAACTCCAAAAGGATGACAGTTGTGATAAAAAAACGGTGGGAGATTTGTACTTCTAGAAGCTACTTGCAGCTGAAGGCCAAACAAATAACAGTGGTGCTAGACACCTGTTAGAAAGCCAAATTGATCCCTGTATCTCCAGTGATTACAGCAATAACTTAAGACACCTGGTGCACCACTGGTACCTAAATATAAGCATATTAATGTAGAATTGAATCCTGTACTAAAAACCCAGCCATGATGCTAGCTTGAAATCCATTAAATGGATTAAATTGAATGCCATGTTTCACTGATAGTTGAACAAATTATTGGTTAGAACAAAAGTTTAGTACATCCAGACATAGTAAATATATCTGCTTAAAAATTCATTATTCAGCCTTTCCTGTCACTCAATTTAACAAATAAAATAACAGTTTGATGCAAAAATCAGAGCTTTTCCAGTAGATTTCTTCAAGCTTTTAATTTAAGCCACAATCCTAAGAAAGGACTTTGGCATATTTAGATATTAATGTTATTTTATAGAATTCCTAGGTTTCTAGAACATAGGAGGAGGGCACTATTGTGAAAAGTAAGAATGGCTTCATGAATTCCTTGGGTCACTCAATAGATTTTAGAATGTGGTACAAGGTTTGCACTAAGTTCTCTGTGTAATCCTGTGAGTTGTAAATGCTGCTGAGGCTTTAAAGTCAAGGAGGCCATCTGGGTAAATAAGGCCAGAGCTGCTGCTTTACCATGAATAGCATCACTTCTTAGAAAAGTATCTCAGGTTATTTCACAGCAAGTCACACCAGGATAGTGATCTGCAGTGAGGAACTGACCTTTTGAATATCAGGAATAAAATCATAGAGTTTTATCCTTCCTGTGGAAGATAAGTGGGGCCATTTCAGTGCATTTATAGTCTTAAGAGTTGCAGTAGTGTTCTGATAGATGCTCC